TATATTAAAACTGTCAACTAAATAGATTCTTTTTTTTTTTGCCATTAAATTACCCAACAAATGATTAACAGTATCAAAAACAAATGACTTTTAATTTCTAGAAATGTTCAGGAAAGAAAGATATGCTTTTTTTAAACAGTTTTTTTTACCAATAAACAAAACGGCTAACTGATTTATGTTTTTGAGTGAAACAACAAAAACAGTTGCAGGAAACTGTTACAATACCCGAAACTGTACCAACGCTGAAGAAATTATATACAGATTATCGCCAATACAAAAAATGCCGAAAAATTGCTACAGATTTATTAAACTATTATCAGGCTACGAGCAGTTCAAAAGTTAGCTCACTAATTAGTTGCTACCTAATTTTTTTATTAAAATTACAGCATAGTCTGCAGTTTTGGTTAACATAGAAAATACAATCTTCTACAGATTCAGCTGTACAGTTTGATGAAATATGGATAAATTGCACAACAACAAACCGATTTTAGGTATTACGTGAGCTGACTCCAGCTGAAGCAAAAAAAGTGATACGAGCAGACGTTTCAGTGATCTCTGTATTCGTCAACGAATGCTTACCTGGATTCAAAATTTTAGCAGAAAATGAAAAGGTGCTCTTTTTTTTCTCTTTTTCACTTTTCAGTATAAATTGACTAACTGCGATTTTAAGCTTTTGCCATTTGACAGTGACAGCAAAAATGAATCAAAATAAACTTTAGTAATGTTAAAGATTTTAATTTTCTCTTTGTTACTGTTAAAAATGGCAATATTTCAATTAAATACTGTTGGAGCAATTAGAAGTTAACATTTTAATAATTTTTTATCGTTTCATCTTTAATTTTTCACTGTAAAATGATACCGCAATTACTCATTTTTGTTGACCAACTTTTTGTTTTTACTCTCCAAAGATAAACCATTGTCAGTTGTTTGAAAATGTTAAAAAATTGTTCTTAATAATTATTATCTAATAAGCATTAATTAAGCAATGCTAAATATGATTATTTTGACGAATATAGTGACAAATTTTTAGCAACATATGAA